CTGGCCGCCGGCCGAGCTGTACTCGGGGTGAGTCAGCGGCGCCACCACGCTCTGACCCGCCCCCGCCGGCCCGGTCGGCGGCGGAGCAGGTGAGGAGTCGACGCGGAGCGTGACGCACCGCGGGACGGCGGTGTCCAGCCTGGCGCACCCGGCGGCGCTGTGCTCCGAGCAATCACGGACCAGTGGGAGTCCGAATGCCACGTGACTCGAAGCCGGTCGTAAGACAGATTGGTGTTGCGTATGACCACCGCGCAAACGCTTGCATTGTTCTCGCAGAGCCGTTTCGCAGCATTGTTCGCATCTAACAAGCACAACCCAGCTACCAAACGAGCAAAAAGCGTCGGCTGCCGCTTCGGAGCTCCCACGAGAGCTGGCGCACGAAGGCCACGACAACAGCGCGGACCGAGTAATCCGTCGGGCTATGTCAGAAGCCGTCGGACGAGCGCCGCTGCGCCGTCCGTCATGTGCCCAACGCACAGGGCGCTGGACCGGGTCCATTACTGGCGACTGCTAATGTCCTTGCCTGCAGGACGCCGCTGTATTAGCCCGGATCAACTTTCACCGCGACTGGCGGCGGCCGCGCATGCGTGCACGGACCGGGCCGCCGCCGCGGCCCAACGCCAACGGCGCGCCGTCGGTGGTGGTGGTAGACCGCTGTGGTGAACCGCAGTCTCTGGTGCTCGAGCTCCGTTACTCATGCAGTCTCCAATAGGAAGGTCGAGGCCTGCGGCCTTACTGAAGACGAAAACCTTTCGACTTCGGTGCTGATCCCCGTTGGCCTCGGTGATGCGTTGGCTGAGCCGCATTATGATGTCAACGCTTAGGCTGACAAATGTGAAATGCAGCGGTTGGCGTGTCACAATAGCCCTGCTATCTGTGGCAAGACGACAGGGACAACGGCGTCTGGGCCGAGTATTCGAGCCGGCGCTTCAGCCTTCGCCCTTCACCTAACGGGAATTTTAGTTGCTCCAGTCAGGAGGTGTGCTCTCTTAATGCGTTCCTTTTCTTCTGCTAGTCCTCACTGCGGTCCACTGAATTGGTACCATTCACTCTGATTTTGTATGGAGACGCCTGCATCATTAGGCGGCGATGGCTGAAAAGCAGGTCGAGGTCTGTCGAAAGCATGGATGTGACGAACAGGATGAGAACTGATGGCAAAAGCATTGAGAAGAACTTCAGTTCTTATATATATATATATATATATATATATATATATATATATAATGTCATAAGCCATGCTGTGACCTTTGATATCTGCGTATTTTGTTAACTGTGGGACTCTGCGCTCATGTCGAAAATTAGATCATGCACGCGAAGGGGATTGTCTTGCGCTCAACCTCTAAATAAATATATTTATATTCATGCCGTTTTCATCAATCTTATTTTTCATTTGGAAATTAAACCCCCAGGCTTAATTAACGTTGTGCATAGTTCCTTATTCTATTTCCTGCATATGTGCATTTTCGCGGCCCGACAGAACACACCTTAAGGTGTGGATCAGTCGGCACGCTAATGCTCTGAGGTGCAGTGTCATTTAAAGCGCAAATCTGTCCCTATGAATAAGTTTCGTTTCTCATGTCACGCCATGCATTCCTGGAATGAATCAGCTATCTCGGTGTTGCTCCACGTAAAACGAGCAGGACACGGTCTCTGAACTATTATCATGATCCAACAAATTATTTTATTGATTAAGTCCGGGCTCTCAATGTCATACAGGTTTGTGATCGTTAAAAAATCACCCGGCCTCATTCCAAGCCTACGGAGAGCGCTTCTCATGCTCGAGCAGCGGCTGAGCCGTCCTGGTATTTTGCGACCAAGATATTGACACCAGTATGCCGGTCACCCGCCCCGACGTACTGTCAATCACTGAACGAGGCGTGCTGCACCGCGCGGTGCCCACCCTGACACACTGTCTCGCACCGAACGAGGCGTGCTGTACCTCACTGTACCCACCCTGACACACTGTCTCGCACCGAACGAGGCGTGCTGCACCGCGCGGTATCCACACTGACACACTGTCTCGCACCGAACGAGGCGTGCTGCACCGCGCGGTACCCACCCTGGCACACTGTCTCGCACCGAACGAGGCGTTCTGCACCGCGCGGTTCCCACCCTGACACACTGTCTCGCACCGAACGAGGCGTGCTGCACCGCGCGGTATCCACACTGACACACTGTCTCGCACCGAACGAAGCGTGCTGCACCGCGCGGTACCCACCCTGGCACACTGTCTCGCACCGAACGAGGCGTGCTGCACCGCGCGGTACCCACCCTGACACACTGTCTCGCACCGAACGAGGCGTGCTGCACCGCGCGGTACCCACCTTGACACACTGTCTCGCACCGGACGAGGCGTGCTGCACCGCGCGGTACCCACCCTGACACACTGTCTATCATCGAACGAGGCGTGCTGTACCGCGCGGTACCCACACTGACACACTGTCTATCATCGAACGAGGCGTGCTGTACCGCGCGGTACCCACACTGACACATTGTCTCGCACCGAACGAGGCGTGCTGCACCGCGCGGTACCCACCCTGACACACTGTCTCGCACCGAACGAGGCGTGCTGCGCCGCGCGGTACCCACACTGACACACTGTCTCGCACCGAACGAGGCGTGCTGCACCGCGCGGTACCCACACTGACACACTGCCTCGCACCGAACGAGGCGTGCTGTACCGCGCGATACCCACCCTGACACACTGTCTATCACCGAACGAGGCGTGCTGTACCGCGCGGTACCCACCGATTATTTGCCTGTCTGTCTGTCTTTACCGCCGGCTCAACTTAGCTTAGCTTAGTCGAGCAGCCTGACGCAGTCACCGCACAGGCTATGAACACCACGTGTAACTCGAAGAACACCGAAAGGAATGCGCAGACGCTGCATACGGCGCGGTCGACAGCAGGGAGTCACCCCAATGAAGCGGGACACCGCGGATAGTCCTGCCTGGATTGAGTCGAAGGGGCTGTTTGTGGAGTCGGTAACGACCGTCGCTTGACACCCGACCGGCACGGCGGACCGGGGCAGACGCCCGGGGCGCGACCTTTGACCTGCGATAGCACACGCTTCGCGACCGGCCGACGGAAATGCCAGGCATTGCTCGGAAAAGATTAGAGGTATAGCTAGAGCCAGATGTGGGTATTATCAACCGAGGCAAGTTCGTAAAAAGCGTACATCAAACCTGAATTGATTATTCGTGATAGGCTCGGCCAATCAGCACACGACTGCACGTGACCGCGTGTGAGATTAAACTCCACGATTGCAATCACTTGCAGTGAAGTCTCCAGTGATTATGCGTGTCGTGGGATGTTCCACACATTGTGATTCATGGGTGACAAAACTTGCATATGTGTCTTTAGCTGGGATGCATGTTTTTTCTGTCAGCTCACCAGCCTTCGAAACGGTAGGCTCATGAAGGTAGCGCGGCTTTTCTGTTGGCAACCAATGCCAGTCAGTCTCTGGATGGAGCACTCGTATCGCTTTGGAAGTATTAAATCCTTCCCAACATTTGTTTGAATGCAATGAGGATTCATATCACCAAAAGCGCCACGAAAGACCCTCCAAAGGCAGCGCCGTATTTTAAGAGAGCGTTCTCAAGCCCCTCAAAACTTAATGACGTTTCGCTGCTGATATGATCGGTACATTCTGCACGCACCAGCCCGCACATGGGCGCCAGCCGATGGGACGCTTTGGAGCTATTCATGCATTTGCAAGACTTTATTCATTGAATGCCGGTTCGACGTACTTGCAAAACCTGACGCGTTTGCAGCTAGATTCGAGATAATCGCTGCGAATGCACGCATAAGTCGGATGTCCAGTCTCGGCTGCCAAGTCTGCAGTGTCCTCCGAGCTGCATTGCACTCACAGCCGTGGTTCGTGGGTCGGGAGCTTGGCGTCGAACCGTAGCTCATGGTGCAAAAACCGGCAAGGATCAGCGCGTCTAAAAGGCAGGGCGTCACTGGCCAGTGTTGTGTTCAACCATTTAAAAAGTGCTTCATCCCTGGGACATACAGCCATCATTGCTACGCGCTCACGTTGTGGATTGATATCTGAAATGATTTCTTAGCCAATAAACCAATTAAATTAAAATTGTTATCAATTTCATTGACCTAAGGCCATGTTTGAAGGTCAGAGCGAGGTCAAAACTAGCCCGCTTTTTACTCGAGAGCTTGATTTTATGGGCTAGTTTCTGGTGTCCATTTCCAATTCATTGGTGACAGGGACCGCAACAGACATGTTTCATGGACAGTGGGTTACAGTGGGTCACTGACCTTAAGTGACCTAGGTCAGCATTCTTAGGAACATGCTGCCTAGCGCAATTACCGAGCCTATTCGAACGATAAAATAGGAACAGTGTTGTAGATATTTGGTCACCTTGACCTTATAAATGTCAACAATGTCACAAAACTCATTTACTTTTTTATTAGAACAGGTACCTAGCTTCGCGGAGGCCCGGGGGCATTGAGATACCAATCTGAGGTTTCATCTTGTTTGGCCTCATTTGACCTCAAGGCCTTGACCTAGGAACTCCAAACTTTGACACAAGTGAGTTTACGTACAGATCAATCCGCCTATAAATTTGGTGTCTCTCACCATCTTAGTTTTTGAGATCCCGGGTCACATTAACACTCCATCCGAGCGAAGCGTATTCAACCGGCTACCCAGGCGCGTGTTAAAACATTTTTCCTCTTCGCGCTTGACGGCATGCAGTGACAACAGGACCAGCCCGCCGTCCGCTGGGTCCGGCGGCTGTCATGAGAAACGACTCGCGTGTTCTCTGTATAAGCCGGTCAGAGAGTGTGAGGTCGTCTCCCGCCGTGAAAGGGTCGCTTAGAAGCAGTGATAACCCCGAGGCATTTCACTGCCGGGCGTGCTGTTTAATCCTTTCGGTCACGGAACTCTGATCGATCTCGTGTCGTCTACTGTATAAGTCAGACACGTTTGTAAGAAGCTGCACGTGGAGCTTTGTGACGTGACGTAATGTTCGTGTATTGCAGACGAGTACGCGAGCGAAAGCCAGGACCGGATCCGGAGCAGGCGTCAAACAACCAAACCTGATGGTGGCTATCAGGTGGAAATCAGCTTCCCCGCGCAAAGGTAACGTAATTATGCCCGAAAGAACCTGGTCTCAGACCCCAGCCATCTTCTGTGCCCGAGAAAAAATCGCAGTCAATTGATGCCCTGCAAAGGTTTGAACGTGAGATTAGGTGTGTTTCCGCCCTTGGGCTGTCCGGCCATGGGTCAGTGACTCATTTGGTACGTCCCATCCCGTACACGATGCGTCTAATGACTGTCATTCGCGGCAATCTGGAGTGTAACTTATCCACGCGCAATTATGTATACAGCAGTGATTGGTGGCGTATGAGACTAAAAATAGAACCGATATGTACCCTTAGGAGCTCGTACTCTGCCAATGAATCCAGTTCCAAAAGAACGCGTGGTGAGTTGCGGCCAACCGCAAACGATCCACCAGAACAGAACTGCCCCGCGCGTTTCTTCGCGGGTCGTGCCCGGCGGCCCGGGGCCACTGCCGGGACGCAACGACCGGGCTATCACGCCCACGCACCGGCCGCTGGCTCCAGCGGGGCGGGGACAGTGCAGAGCCGCACACCGCGCCGACCGGTGCCGCGCAGCTCGTCTGTGCGTCCCGAGAACGGAAGCCGACGGCGCTGGTGCGCGGAACCGGCCGTCCTGCGAGACGGCGCTGTGGACGGTCTTTCCCGGTCCGCGGCGGCCACCGCGGCCCGGCGGTTCCGATCGGCGCCGTGAAAATTACGGGCGTGGTGACCGATTTCTCTCCGGTTTGCAAAACTTGCCGTGCTTTGGGCACGGTTCTGGTTGTGTAAAATGTGGCTTTCGGCCTTTGAAAGCAAAAGCCCAGCCTGGCACAGGTCTTGTGCCCCAGTTGCAGCCCGGTGCTGTTGCGGCGTGCCAGCATCGGCACTGTAACGTGCCGGGCGAGAGTCGTCCGCGAGGTCCGACTAGCGTTTGAGTCACGTGACACTGCGCAAAACTAGAAAGCTTGATCCGTTGGGTAACCTTGAATTGCACTCAGCATGGCAATCGTGCAGGCCCCGTTTAGTGGCATACGTGTGTGGGTTTTGCAAGGGCACCTTGATACTATCCATCCAGTTACTTGATCGTCCAAACGATAAATGATTTAAATGTCCACGTACGTTTCAACAGGCACTTAGGGAAATCCGAGTCGTTTAGAAGATTTCTGGGTTTTACGTCTTAGTGTAATACTGGCATCGCCAGATGCGCTTATCACCACGTACTTACTAGTGCCCAATGAGGTGATGATTCCACACTACCACATTTTTGTATTTAGTCATTCATGGACCAGGTGGAAGGGGAGGGGTAAATTGGGTAGCTCACGTCAAACAGACGACACTTTTCGACGAAGCACGAAGGCGAGCATTGGGCAGCTTACTCCACCTAACTGCGAAGAAAACTTGCATCTTTGCTGGCTTGGCCTCATCATTTGTAATATTTGTTAATCCATACGCGAAGAGTCCGCTCTTTGATGAGCATAGTGTGGGATGATCGGGCAGAATTCCGATTATGCAAGCTGCAAACACGGGTATGACTAGTTCAGCAAGGGGTCTTGAGCGTGGCAAATAAAATCTAACAAATCCTGTTCCGGAAATAGCTCATTCCTGCTATGTGATGACAAAAAACCGTGTTGCTGGATTGAATGGAACCCGACATGTCGCGTCACACGCTCATCCGCAAATGGACGCCTTTATTTTTAAAAACGCGCAACATACTCAGATGTACACTTATCTGTCAGCACGTCCACATCACTAAGGTGTGTTGTAGTCTGTCCAGCTCAGACGACTCGCGGCCTGCCCAGACGCGATTTTTCGTCTTTCGTGGCTTTGCAGTAAGCTCTCTTCGTGACAGTGCAAAGGGTTCCTTTACCACGCCACTCCCGTGCTCACCCTTGCATGATCACCTGAACCGACGGAAACAAAAACCAACAAAAAACATAAGCAAAGAACATAAATCAATTCCATCGAACTCGTCAGCCGCTACCGAACGACACGCGGACTGGCTGCAGCCGGTTTTGGCGGAGATCTCGGCACCGGACTGGACCCAGCTGGCCCGAATGGAGGCGGGGATGGGGGGGGGGGGGGGGGCACGGCGGCAATGAAGCTTTGCCGCCGGATACAGCCGACTTCCGGTCCGCAGCCAGTGTGCTCTCAGGGGCCGGCGAGCCAGACCGCAGCGGCCAGTACGGTCATGGTCTGGCGGCGGGTGCCCGGACCATCGTCTTGGCCTCAAGCACAAGGTGCTGCGGTCACAAGCACGGCCATGCAGTTTTCCGGACCGCGGACCGTGTCCCACGGGCGGTGTTTCAGTCATAGACAAGGCCATAAAGCTGTTCATATCTTCATCTGGGTCACACAAGCAGAGGGTCTTGGTTTGAGATATGCCCATGTCGTGGATCAAACCGTCGTCCGGGTCCCACAGCCACGACCTTGGTCAAAGGGTCCGGTTGGACGCCCCACCGTTGCCTCGGCCAGACAGACGCGCGATGACAGACACGACATCGGTTACAGGCACCGCACCCCGGCAACAGTCGTCGCCCGGTGCTACAGAACCACTCCCCATCACACTGGAAGCCCCTCAGCGTGGAGCAGTGCGCCCTTCGCCGCCGCCTGCCGCGGGCGGACGCGCGCCCGGCCGCGGCGACGCCTCGGCCCCGGCCGCAGAACCGCGCATCCCTGGCCGGCCCGGCCGGTCCGGCCGCCGGATCAGCCGGGATTACAGCGGTCGGGCGCGGCGGTGACTGGCACGGCGGCCGCCGCTCGCCGCCGCCGGGAAGCCGGGCTCAGGCTCTCCGGCGGCGCGCGGCGGCGGTGCTGGCGGCCGCTCTCCACCGCCGGGGCTCACCGCCAGGGAACCGGGCTCAGGCTCTCCGGCGGCGCGCGGGCGGCTCTCCAGCACTAGGGCTCGGCGCCCGGGCGCTGGTGAAGCCCGAGCCTAGCGGGTGGGCTGCTTGCGATGGGTTGGGCCTGATCTCGGCTGGCGTGATCACGAGGTGGATCACGTCCAAGCCCTTTCCTCCTAAACACGACCAAACTATTTGGACAGGAGTGGCTCGTAAGCTCAGAGATGACCTCTCATCCGCGCAGGGAATGTCGGTGTCTCCACTCGTCCGTAGCGGGATATCTGCTCGGTCTGGACCTGACCAGGAGCGCTGTCGGCCCGCCTGAGTCGGCGGTGTCCTCGGAGGGCGTCCGGGGGACGGTCCCGGCACTGGTCCACACGCCAACAATGCAGCCAACGCTTCGGCGTGCGCAGCTGACAGGCGACGCCAGACTGTGCCAGCTGCCAGAAAACCGTTCCGCCCTGAGCTCCGCCTCCGCTTCAGTCGTCGCGATTCGCTGACTTCATCCCTCGCCTGCTGACCAGCACTCTTTTTGTCGATCACTGGCACGCACCCCGTGTTCACGGATCTTCTTTACTTGTTGTATGTGACCAGTCGTGTGCCGCTTTCGTCATCCCTGCGTCCGTATTGAGCTCACGGTTTTGTTCCGCTATGACCGACTAGCCCCGCGCCGTTCACCTGTCAGGATGTAGCATGCCGTCCTACTCTGTACATTAACCCATTTTTGGAGGAACGTCTTCTTGAATCACGGGCCGTGCATGTACGAATATGCCCAAGAGAAAGAAATTGATGCAGCGTGACCGCATTTGGAAGTTGACTCATTCAGGCCTTGGTGCCAGGGCGAAGGATATTTTCGTCCTTTGTCGCGTTTTGTCTCTCTAAGCAAGCAAAGCTGAACAGCCGGTGCCAGCCTGGTGCATAAGCCAGGTAATGCCAAGTGATGCGTGGTGCCTCCACCAAATAACGACAACGTCCAGCCGGCGTCCGCCCTGTTGCCATGGACCGCACCACAAGCGCCACCGAGCACGTGCGAAAAGAAGCTCAGCCCTCTCCGTCGGAAAGCTCCTACGGCGATGACCCGCCGGCCCGATCGGAGCCAGTTCGCGGCCCCCGTCTTTCCAGGAAGCGCGGGCGCCGTGCACGCTGGCTGGCGATCTCCGCACCGCCCACATCCCGTCCAGGCGGCGGAGGCCCGACCCGCCACCAATCTGACCGATCGGGTCTGTTGCAGCGGCCCTGTCACCAACGAGGACACGAAACAGGCTACCGACGTGCAGAAGCTGATCAAGGACATCATACTCGAACATGTGAGCGTTCACTTATGGAGGCGGGGCTGACGCGAATGACTGTCGATGGCGTATGTGAGCGCCAACCGCTCATCCTAGTTTGCGATTCAAACACGCCGTGCATTGGGTATTCTCTGATGGCAGCGATGCGAAGTATCTGATAGCTGCGCACCAGCCATTGCAAGGATTTCTATGTGCGTTTTGAAGGTGTATTAGATATGACTGAGCCTTACAGGTGACAGCCTATGTCTGAGATAGATGTCGCTGACGCTGGCCATTCGTGGCGGTTTGACTTCCACCGCAAGCCTAACCCCAAATCGCTCAGCTCAACTGAAGTCACCCCACATTTCGTGATTGTCTTTCCACTACGACACCTCGAACTCCTCCATATTACCTGCAGCGCGTCGAAATCTCATGTCACGAGGCAGCGCGCTCGCCGACCTCTGCAGTGCTCACTCCCTGTCCTCCGGCCCTGACTGCCCCGCACGTCGGCAGGGCGAGTTCGACGTCCAGTCGCAGCTGCCGAACGTCGAGACGGACCCGTCCTCGCTGCAACTCGACTCGGAGTATGTGTGCGAGGAGGGCAAGGTCCTGGTTGATCGCTGGTGCGGTAAGTCACTCTCGCTTTCTCTCGCGCGCGCGCCGCTGATGCGGCGCCGGGCGCGGGCGGCGAGACGGATGGCGCGTGGCGCCCGAGACACCCGCATGACGAATTTGGGGTACGGCTCCCTTGGATCGCCGGCGGGGTGAAAGTATCCGACACAGACAGCGCTCACGTTTTCCGGGAAACTGTTTGAGGCTCTTCACTATTTCAGGCCATTTGCTCACCACTCACTCTGCCATTATCGAGATAGCCCCAGCTTGGCTCGGCCATTATCGAAATAACTCCAGTTTGGCTCGGCCATTACTTCACCAGAAGTTCATGGACCATGGCTCGCTGCTTTCTTACGTAACGTTCGCGTGTATCACTGCGCCGTATTATCACGTGCCGCTGTGAGTTGCATGCACCGTGCCCATCTCTTGTTCGTCGGCTTCGCCCCTGTTTGCGACTTGTGTCTGCTCACATTCCGATCTGACCTGACTGAGCATCCGGCCATGTCATCCCTGACCCGACATGACCCAGATTGTCTCACCGTTGACGCGAAGTTAATTTTGGGGATTTGGTTGAGATCAAACCCTTTCGGCTGGCCAATAAACATTGCAGGGTTATAGGATGAAAGAGAGAGGAGTGTGGGGAGCAAAACAATATGTATCTGGGATTCCCCTGCTACCGAGACTTACCCCGCACAGGGCCCCTCTTCGGGGTATGTGCGAGCGCTAGGACGGGACTCCCGCCAGGGACCGCCTGAGCCCAACCCTCGCCTTACCTTTCCTTGCTTCACCAGCCCTTACTCGAGTCTTAAGCTCACAGCGGATGCGTGCGGCTTGCTCCGGTGGGACCGGACGTCGCGAGGATCCAGGGTGAAGCGGCGGATGAAGAAAGAATAACTCCCAAAGTGTCCATAACCATAACACGCCACCTCTGTCCTGATCCGTCCTGACCCGAGCCTGTTAAACGCCTGCCCTGACCTGACATGGCCCATGACAGCGTCACCACCGACTCAAACAGCATGACCCGTGCGCCGCTGCTCCCCAGTCGCGTGCGCGGCCGGCACGTACTTCGACGTCGAGTCCGGCACGTGCCGCAAGTGCGCCATCGGCACGTACCAGAGCGGCCAGGGCCAGTCGAGCTGCACGCCGTGTCCGCCGATCGCTGGCCGCCAGTCCACCACGGCCATGCGCGGCTCGCAGACCGCCGACCTGTGCAAGGGTGAGTGACGGCCGTGCGTCCGACACTGCGGTGCTGTGTCCGGACGTCCTGTGTCCAGACGTCGAGTGTCCGGACGTCAAGTGTCCGTACGTCGAGTGTCCGAACGTCGAGCGTCCGGACGTCGAGTGTCCGAACGTCGAGTGTCCGCACGTCGAGTGTCCGCACGTCGAGTGTCCGGAAGTCCAGTGTCCGGACGTAGAGTGTCCCGACAAAGGGTGGGCGTGGCGTTCCGTTCTTGGTGGCAGGGATCGGGCACAATGCTACCTCAGTGTTTATGCGGTGGATATATATATATATATATATATATATATATATATATATATATATATATATGAGTGGCAGAATGGCGGTGGGCAGCAGGGAGGTTAACGATCAGAGGGCTGTCGATTCCATACTTGTCGCGTCAAAACTGCGTTCGTCTGGCTTCCGTTACTTGCGGGGCAGAACACGGGCGCCTGCTGGCAGCTTACATCAGTAAGGCTGATGCATTTGCGAACCTTCTGATGCAGATGGTCTCGCTAAAATGAGGCTGAGATCAACAACAATATGCGAGGTGCAAGACAATATTCTTTGCGGGTTTACCTAACGACCTTGTATCAACCCATTACCGAGCTATCCTTGCTCTGAACGATGCTGAGAATCAGCCACCAGGAACCGATACTCGGCCCCCGTGCCATGAAGCTGCGGCTGGGGCGGCGCTGCGGGTGCTCTGAACGATGCTGGGAATCAGCCACCCGGAACCGATACTCGGCCCCAGTGCCATGAAGCTGCGGCTGGGGCGGCGCTGCCGGTGCCTGGGAAGCCCGCACGCCTCGCGCGAACCGACAGGTGATGGCCGCGGATCGGACAGGTGCAAACATTTCACAGCCGTGAGACAGCAGCGGGGAGAGGGAGGTGGGCGGTGGGGAGGGGGAGGGGGAGGAGAGGGGTGCCAGCCGGCATCCGTGGCAGTTCACGGCCGCCACGCCCGATCCGGGAGCTCGCGCGGCGCCGCCTTCAAACAAGGACTCATACAGGTGTTCGCTTGGGACGCTTTCCGAAAACCTCCGATGGCACTTTCTGCGGGAGGCGCACGTAAACGCAGACGCCAGTATGGAGACAAGTCAACTGACCATTAGTCTCTCCAGGGTTATTCCCGACCGCCATCTGTCTCTTCAGAGCGCTATACACCCTCTGGAGCTGCCCTGACCAGGCTCCCAAGATCGCTGGTCCGGCCGCTGTTGCCCTGACCTGGCCTGCCTTCCCAGAGCGTTGTACTCCCGAACCCTCACTGACCTAACCTGAAGTGACCTGCCCCCAGCGTGGTGCTCACATAGCCCGCCTGTGACCTGACCTGACTTGTTTCCCTCAGAGCGGCGCTCGTACGGTCCGCGTGTCACCTAATCTGAGCTTCTCCTCGCCCAGGGCGGCGCTCGCCGAGCTCGCGTTTGGCCTGACCGGACCTGCCCTCTCCCCCAGAGCAGTGCTCGCCCGGCTCGAACTTGACCTAACCTGACCTGTTATGACCTGACCTGACCTGACCTGTTCCACTCAGAGCGCTGCTCGCCCGGACACCACTTCGACACGCGGCTGCAGATGTGCAAGCCGTGCGGCGTGGGGCGCTACCAGAGCCGAGCCGGCCAGTTCTCCTGCAACGCCTGTGAGCCGGGCCTGACCACACGCAGCGCCAAAAGCACCTCCTCCAAGGTGAGACCGGCGCCGCCGGGCCGGGCCCGTCCCGAGCACAAGACTTCGCGGCAGGGGCAGTCTGAACTGGCTATTGCACCCACGGGGTGGGGTATTACGGTCAGAGTGGTGTATTATGACCACAGTGTGGGGTGTTGTGACAGCGTCGTGGGGTATTGCGACGACGTAGGGGGTGTTACTGCCACTTAGTAGGTTATTCGTGCTGCCAAATAGGGTATCTGAACAAGATATGGCATAATTTCGACCGTCCATCAAAGCATTACGACCACAGAAAAACATGCTGACATGGCGATGCCGCTGGCAGATTAAGGAACTGCCTGGTAACGTTAGGCCCCCCAGTGTCGTGACTTCCCACATGAGCCATGACTCATGGCAGCAGCATTATCGCCCTGAGAAACAAACAAACAAAGGAGTCGCCCACTCCGCAGGACTGCACGGCGGCCTGCGAAAGCGGCCAACAGCTGGCCCTGGACAACACGTGCCAGCCGTGTCCACGTGGCACGTACCGCGCGGCCGACGCGCAGCAGACGTGCTCGCTGTGCCCCGAGGGCACCACGACCGCGACAACGGGCTCGACGATCTCCGATGACTGCTCGCTACCCGTCTGCCAGCCAGGTGCGTCGCCCCGCCAGCCACGAGACGACGAGATATTTAGGCTGACGTGGGGGGTGATGTGGGGCCGTATCGGGTGTGCGCTTGTTTTCAGACAAACTTTGCGTTCTACCGTGAGGAGGCAGGTGCCTTCATGCTGGGGCACGGACAGCAGCACCGTACAGTCTCGTGTTTGAGCGGAAAGGCCGACATCAGTTCACCTAACCGTGGCGCTGGGCATCCAGCGGTGAGTTCTATCACAAAAAACCAATTGGACAGCGCTCGATATTCTTACGATCAAAACGCCAGAGGAGAAAACAATCCAAGCACGCCCGCCTTAAGCCTGATCGGGGTGGAATTTGTCGCGCCGAGTGGCGCGCGATCTCATCTCGTTGGTAACGCGCTGCACCCGTCCAGGCACGTTCCTCAACACAACGGAGGGGAACCGGTGCGAGAGCTGCCCACTGGCGACCTACCAGCCCGAGTCCCTGCAGACGGAGTGTCTCGACTGCCCCACGGACACCACCACCGAAAAGGTCAGATCGGTCGGGGTCAGGGCACCGTCACCGGCTGGAGGGCTCGGAATGCTTGGCGCGCCACCAACGGCACACGTCTGAGATCTGCTGGCATTGTGACGGACTGATGTAAAACTCGTGACTTGCCCCGGCCAGCTGTTGACTCAGACTCAGGCTACCCTTGAGGATTAGTGGCAACGAGTGTTCCTTGCCTGGCCGGGACACTCCCGTTGAAGGTCAACTAGCGCCAGCTGTAGCGACGTTCACGAATGATTCAGCCGTCCGGTTCGGAAGCTTCGCTATGCCGAATAGAATCGTTATCTTCAATAATCCAGGTACGTCAGTCGAAAAGAATCAACGCCAGGCTTCCAGCAAATGAGCAAAACGAGCCAGACTGCATGGAACCTGTGTGGCGTCATGTAAAATCTAGGTCATTCAGCTCAATAAAACTGGTCATCGGATGCACACGCATCTTTTGTCTCGGCCGCCCGCGTCATCACGCCCAATGCACCCGGCGTAACTCGGCGACCTCTGCGTGTGACCTCAAGCCGCTTCGATCGGCTGCCGAAAAACAGCGGCAGGCAGACCTGACCCGGGCGTGCCCCCAGGTCGGCGCCAGCTCGGCCGAGCTGTGCATCAACCCGTGCGACGGCGCCGGCGAGGCGACGCAGTGCGACGCGCAGGCCATCTGTCTGATGGACGCCGTCACCAACGCGTTCCGCTGCGAGTGCAAGCTTGGCTTCAGCGGCGACGGCTTCAACTGCACGGACCGCTGCCATGGCTTCTGCGACAACGCGGGCACGTGCAGCAAGGACGAGCGTACCGGACTGCCATCCTGCGCGTGCACCGGCTCATTCACCGGTGAGCGCCACGGCGGCGACGGGGCCGGCCGCCATCGGGTCAGGTCAGCGTACAGGGGCAGCGCAGGACGCCGGGTCAGGCAAGAATGTCGGGTCAGCTCAGGACGTCGGGTCCGGTCAGGACGCCGGGTCAGGTCAGGACGTCGGGTCAGGTCAGAATGTCGGGCAGGTCAAATCAGGACAGCGAAGTGTTCCTTGTTCGGATTGTGATGGGTTAATGTAACATTTACATCCCGCGGTCATTTAGCTGCAGCGCTCCACGGCCCGGCGGCGTTGACCAGCCCTTGCCGGTGGTGCGCCGCGGATAAACCCACCCATCACATCGCCCGTCAGATCCTGAGCTCCTCGGCCGAGCCAGTCGTACTTTCGCAGACAGCGCCTGATCGTGACTGTCCCTGCCTGGTTAAGACTGACCTCACTCGACCTTGGCTGACCCCAACTGACCTTGGGCGTGACAAAAACGGACACTGGTTGACCTCGCCTGACGTCACCAGGGGAGCGGTGTGCAGAGAAGTCCAAGTTCGCCTACATCGCCGGCGGCGTGGCCGGCTTCGTGCTGGTGGCCATCATCTGCGTGCTCTTCGTGTGGATGATCTGCGCTAGGGCCAACAAGAGGAAGAAGCAGCAGGAGCCGGGGCAGAAAGCCATGACGCTGCCGCCGGACGCTGCGTCGCAGGTATGTGTCCAGGGACGCCCCACCGGGGTTGGCACTCCGGCGCGCAAGCTCCGATGGTGCTCGGCATCGCTCGCTGCGACAACTCATTTGACAATCGACGTGAAAGGCTGGGACGTTACGGCAGCGACGCGCGCCGATTACTCACTTAACGGAATGTTGTCCAACTCTCCCACAACTAAGCACTGTGTTGGTGAGACAATCCCCCAGCCGGGAACGTTCCAAATGATCTCTGAAATGGTATTTGGGCGTTAGCATCGGGCAACGCACCGCTTGTGAGCGCGCTGACACCGCCTGCACTACATCAGGTGAATTTCTACTACGGTGCGCCAACCCCGTACGCTGAGAGCATCGCGCCGTCGCACCACTCCAACTATGCGCACTACTACGACGAAGAGGACGAGGCCTGGGAGATGCCCAACTACTACAACGAGGCCTTCGTCCGAGGTGCGGGAGACAGCGGCACTCGTGACGCGCTTGGTAGTTTATTGTCACGCCGACTGCGCGCATGTCTGTTCAGCCAAAGCCAAGCGTCTGACGGATCTCTGGGCACAGTATTATAAATTCATGACTGTCCGTCGCCACGAGGTGTTCGCTAAGCGGATTACATGACGTCATCGAGCGTCAGCAGGCACGCGATGAGACGTGCCGTGGCGTGCCGTGACCGCCGACGCCTGCGCGCAGACGGCCCGTCGCCGAGTAAGGGCGGCACGCTGCCGCCGGCCAGCGCCAGTCTGTACACGGGCCAGCCCAAGCCCGACGAACTGTACGACCGGCTACGGAAGCACGCCTACACCGGCAACAGAGGTGAGCGTCCGGCCGCGGCCCGGGCGGCCGTGCTCGGGGGAAAGGGAGACGAGTCTCGCATCGCGCCGCGCTCTCTGCTCACGGGGAGTGCAGGCGCGCTAGGGGTGCCGACTTTCTGGGGACTTTGGTAGTGTGTAGCTTTTGGCGGCTATTAGTCATTGAAATCGTCGACAGCTATTGATTAATCGCGTCCGCCACTCGACCGAAGTACGCTGACAAGTGTAGGAAGTCTACAGGCTTCGTAGACAAAACCAAGATGCTTTCGAGTGTTCTCCAAGGAAGGAGGTCGCTCTTTTTACGCTACACCATGGCATAGAGCAGCAAACAACATATCGCTTCCATGGAAACAAATCGACTCTCTCGCAGCCCATGAGAACATCCGTGTCCAGACAAGTAACCTGCCCTGTTTCCAGACACGGAAGACATTCCCATCGGCCACGACGACCAAGCGTGCTAGATCGCCGTGTAACCGTTCGGTGTCGAAACAGCGAGGCCCGGCCGGCCCCGTCAGCCCCGCGGGGCCAGCAAGGCCGTCTTTCAGCTGACCACGGGAGCCGGCGCGGCGGCGCGGCCCTCTCCTCGCGACGTTACGTCAGTCACGGCCGCTCCGATTCCGCGTCGGTCCAGACCTCTGCCAATGGGCGACCCGAGCGATGAGGTCACCTCAAACTGCAGACCTCCGCTACAGCTGCATTTTTGGCAGTTCGCCACGGGTCAACATTACCAGTCTGTGGATGCGTGTGCGAAGAACCGTTTGCTGAGGGATCAGCGCAGCAAGAGCATGCTGCACAGAGACAGAAGTGATATTGCGCGCGCGGAGTGGAGGTTCGTAAACTGAGTTTTCATTAAGTGTCATTAAGGGACAATACCAAGCCCCGCAGTCCCACGTCCAGAAAGCGTCTCAAAGTCAGCAAAATCATGAGCAGGCCTTTCGCTAAAACCGATATCCAAACATAAGTGAACAATATGCAGTGACGCGTACTGTTGGTGAGATGTGCAGCTCGTGAAGGACGCCGAATACACTGAGTAAGCGAAGCCCTGCGGTCGCACCGCAGACCAACTAGTTCGGCTGCCTCGAGAATCGTGTATTTGGCATGACGTCTCAGACTCGGCCAGACTCAAATAGGCCTTACACCGGTCCGGAGAATCACAGGTGGGCGGCGACGGCCGGCCGCTTCAGGGGAAGTGCTTGGCGTCCTTCTGGTGCAGCTCGAGCAGGCGGTCCTCGATGGCTGGGTCCGGGAAGCGGTCCACGAACGACTGGATCAGGCCCTCGGGCGTCGACTCGTATTGGCGCAGCAGCACGTCGTCGCCTGGCGACGGGCCGCCGGTCAGGGTCGCTGACCCGTGCGGCCAGGGCAGGGCCGGGCGCCGAGGCAAACCACCACCTCCGGCGCAAAATCCGGAGCTCAGATGAATAAAAATTCAAAAATTCAAAACAAAGCATCACAACTGAATCAAGTTATCAATTTCAGCTCATCAAATCAAGTATTATAATTAACAATTAAAGCGACAGTAGTGACGTAATCTGATTTCATCTAGCTTCTCACAAGCAAACCCATCGATGGTTGCCGCACGGCCAAACGCGACACTTCCAGTACCATTACCTTCCCCACTAAACTCGCCAGTCATCTACACTTCAGCAAACCCAGGCAGATCCTTTCGAAAAAGTTAACAACACACATGGTGAGCTGGTGCTCGATGTGACGGGCTCCAACACGGTAACTGATTCCTTTAAAACTCACCGGCCTGACCTACCTGATGAGCACAATCAATGACCGACGCGTGCCCTCCCCCATCGCTCCCATGGCCGACTTCGGAACGCATCCCCACCGATCGCCCATCTAGAGCCCGCGAGCTCGAGCAGCGCTACATCTGTGGTTGAACAGCAACTGCCCCCCCCCCCCCCAATTTAACACACACCAAGCGAACACAAGACAACGGGGCTCCACTAGGCACCCCCGCCCTCGCCCTCGGTCCGCCTGCGCCAGCCGCTCCCTCTCCCGTGCCGGCTGCACCCCGACCCTGGAGCCCCCCCCCCCGCCGTCGGCTCACCCTTGAGCTCGGTGTGCGCTTGCACGAGGAAACGCCGCGGCTGCTTCTTCTCCAGAATGATCGGAATCCACTTGGCGAAGGGGTGCAGTCCGCTGTCAGGCACTTCCGAGTAGTGGTCGAACATGGCGCGCGCCGCCGCCACGTCCGCCGTCGCCTTGTACACCTGCCGGCAGCAGCACACAGTCCAAACCCGGCGCCGGCTCCAACGGCGCGGGCTGGCGCCGACGCGCCACGGGAGAGGCCGTCCAGCGACGCCTCTTGCGCGATGGGGGGGGGGGGGGGGGCAGTGCCGGCAGGATGGCCAGGGGGAGACTTGCACGAGGAACGTAAGAGGATAATAAGAAATGTATAGGGAAGGAGTAAAGTCAAAGACACAGGAGGAAAATAAGGCGCCGAGGAAGAAAATGAGGGCGATAAAAGGAATAGCCGACAGGGGGCAGTTGTGATGAAAACCCTGGCAATGAAGTCCACGGTTTCTAAGCCGCGGTGACGGTGTCTGTCCGCTGCTAGCCCTGCCACAGAATGCTGCCACCACGCCACGGACGCCACAGCGGGCTGCTGTTACGAGAGCGGCTCTCGTAACAGCAGCCCGTTGTGGTCCGCAGCCAGCTCGGGTCCGTGTTCGGATGCGCCGTTGCCGCCGCGCCGCTCCGTGGCGGAGCGGCGGCGGCGGCGGCCTTCTGCCAAGTCGACTCACCTGCAGCCGGGTGAGGAAGTCGCCGATGGCCTTCTTGCCAGCGGTGTGGATCTTGTCGCGGCAGACTGTGAGCAGCAGATCCGGCCGGCCGTCGGCGTCCTGCCGCTCCTCGATGCTCACCACGCCGTCGCCGTGCTCCAGCAGCACACGCAGGATCACGTACCGCGCCCGGCTGTGCGCCTGTGAGGACGCGGGGGGGGGGGGGGGGGGGGGGGCGTGAGCGGCGGTCCCAGCTTGCTCCACATCGGAGGGGCGTCGGATCGGAGCAGCGGAGCCCTGCCCGTGCAGCAAGCCTGGCGATGGCGGTTCGCGTGGGAACCGGGGCGCTCATGGCGTCGGACGTCTCCCGGTGAACCGGGAGCTGATCGCTGCCGATAATACTGCAGCGGCCTGGAGCGCACTTCGAGCAGAAATCTGAAGGGGCGACTTAGCCATCCGTAGGGAATCGTCTCCACATGAGTTGGGCGAGACTTTTTCACCCATATCCGCAGCTCTGGGCGCTGCCGAATAACTGCGCAACACCTCCGCAAAGGACGTGTTGGGGCGGATCACCGTCAGCACATGTGCACTCAGTGCCCACATTCCTCTACAGATTACTCGCGCCGTACCACCACCGCCTGCACTCAGCGTAAACGAAGATTGTATAATCGGCACAGAGCCCGTCCGCTCCAGCGTGCAGACTACTGATCAGTATACATACTTTCACCAGCAAACTGTTTAAGCAGACTGGCAGCCAGCCACAAGACGCGACCGCCAGCGACGGGCTCGCCAGTTTTCTCCACATCAGCGGCAGATCAAAGGCCACCAGCCGACAGGGCAGGACGGGATGTTGGGTCACATCCCACAGCCCCGGCCTCGCACCGCACCCCGTCCAGGCCCAGGCTCAGAACTGAATGGCTCACGGCGTCCCGCGCCACACCTGCAGGCCGGCCGCGCGCCGGCGAACACAGCACCCGCGCCGCGCGCCCCGTCCGACCCGCCGGCGCCGTCACCTGCATGAACTTGCGCGCCGCCGCGTCGTACTGCTCCAGACACTTGGCGAACCCGTCCCACAGGTTGTCCACCCAGTTGACGTATGTCACGAGCCGGCCCGTGTCGCCGCGACAGTCGAACAGCCTGCGGCGGGGCGGCGTTACGGCGGCGGCCCCGGCGGCGCCGCGTGACCTGACCTGACCCGACCGAGCCCGTTACCTGCATGAACTTTTTCGTCTCGGTCGAGTACATCTCGAGCGCCCTGGCCAGCCCGTTGTAGAGCAGGCTGAGCCAGTTGACGTAGACGAGCGTGGGGCGCAGTGTCTCGGCCACGGAGAAAATGCTGCCGGCCGGACGACACGGCGTCAGGTCACGGTCCGGTCAAGGTCAGGTCAGGTCACGGGCCGGTCACGCCGCGAAACAAATAAGCACGACGGCAGCCGGCGGCGACCACCGCTGTAACGAGTGATCACCTGGACTGGCGGCCAAATCGCGCACGTAAGCACCAATGATGCCCCGACGCGAGTCCTTTGTAAACATCTGGCGCGTATCTTTGCATACATGTGACATTATCATCACGAAACCGTGAAACATTCCTGAACAAAAAAATGTCCCTTGACGAGCTCCGGATGTCAGCGCACAGTTTTATGACCGCCATCACAGCCCGCAAAGGGCCGTTACGACTCGGAGAGCAACGCCACGACTCCCACAACAGCCTCGTCTCGACCCCACCTGCCCTAGGCACGACCCTCCACACGTCACCCGCCCCCTCCCTGCCCCGGTCCGAAGCCGCGGCCCAAGCGCGCCGACCACCTACTCCATGACTTCGTCGTCGAGCGACAGGTAGAGGCCGACACACTCGGCGCGGCACTCCTCGTACGCCGAGCCCAGGTCGGTGAACACGCCGTCGTACGTCTCGCCCGGCGTGTAGAAGCTGGTAATCTGCGGCAGGGCCACGAGGCGCGTCACAGTCGGGCGGGTCGGGCGCCCGCTGCCGCTCACGGCCACCGATCCCATCCGGCCAACGACGCACCGGCGGCGAACGTGACACAGCCGGAGCCGACGACCGACCACAGCGGAGTTGGCAACGGATTACGAGCACCGGTGTCGACACGCCAGCGGCACGTCACCGCCAGCCGCGCCTCCGCGGTGACGTGTCCCGGTCACGGCGGCCCACCAGCGACACATCCCGGCCGCGTCTCACATGTGTCGACGGCGAGGATGGCGCGCGGCTCGCGTGGCGTGGCGGACCCCACCGCGGGCGGGGCGGCGCTGTCTGAGGGACAGCGGCCACAGCCCGGGCCGCGCGGGACCCCGACCCCGCCCCCCGCTCACCGGCTCGCCCGTCTCCGCGTGCTTCACCGTCTTCTCGTCGAAGTTCAGCTTGCCGTCCTTGTCCTTGGCGAACAGCTTGCCGCTACCGTGGCCGAAGAGCTCGTGCAGCCCCACCTGGACCTGCAGATGAGCGTCCAGCCAGGCGCGTGACGCGAGGGAACCATCACGGGTTTGGCGCGTGGAGACGTGGGAGCGGCTTCAAACCATTCGTTACCACGCTCTACCTAGCGTTCATTCTAAGTTTGTTCAGGGTGGCGGGGCGGAAGACAGGGAAGGACAAGCTGGGTTCTAGCGCACATGAGACGTGCCTCCGCCGCCACCACCACTTACGCAAAGGATCTCCGTAAACGTGGTACAATCAAAACATGATTTCGTCACAACATAAACACTTAGTACTTATACCAAACACATGGACACTCAAAACACACACAAAAAACAAATCATCGGGGCGTAGCAAAAAAGTATATAGCATGGAACAATGTGCCTCAGATACATAAAGTGAGCCTGTATGGTATGACAACCACACAGGCAAACCCAAACTCAGCCCACTAGTCCAACTAGCCCAGGGGCCTGTATCCGGGCAGTGACAAATGAGCAGACATGCGTCCAAAGTTAAAGAGATGGGCATAAACAAAATACAACTTAACACAAAATATAACATTCAGGTATAGTCTTCAGGTAGTTCATAACACCTATCCACCGTCACCGAAGCGCAGCACCGCGGCAAATCCGCGCAAACATCCCCACCAGCTTCATCCTGTTCATCCCACCAGGTGACCACCACCGTACCCCAGTCCCAATGCGCGCGGAGGTCAGGACCGCGGCCCATACCTCGAACGCCTGCGTGCGGTACTGGCGCATCAGCTCCGCGTCCTCGGGCCCGAGGAACGGCAGCACCGAGGCCGTGTAGGCGGCCGTGATCACGTTCCCCAACGAGACGTTCTTGAAGCCCTCCTCCTGGCGGATCTCGTCGTAGTTGGGGATGTTGATGCCGGCGGGCACGCCGCTGCCGGCGAATGCCAGCACGTCCAGGCTGGTGAAGTCCGGCTTCAGGAAGCGGTCCTTCTCGTACGCCTGCCAGCGGGGGGAAGGGAAGGGGGGGGGGGGGCTCCGTGTAAGAGGCGGGTCGGCGGCCCGCTACTGACCACCTCAGACGCAGCCACGGGCGCTCAGACGCTGCGCAGGTCGCTAGGCATAAAGCGAGTGAAGTGCTTGCGGCAACCGGTACCAATATGTTTGATCCATATGTTAGAACGGCCACCTTCGCATGAGAATCCCACGGGCGCAGGTCCACTGATGTAGCATTCGGGCGGGACGCCACAAAGATCATTGCTCGAAAAAACGACTGGCTATGAATCTGGGCGGCCTTGGATATTGTAATCGAGAAAATTAACACTGTATTGCGACAAATCCATGGTACACAACACAGACGTATTCCAACAAACACAGATGTTTCGGGTGAACATTGGACTGGACACAACACAGGCCAAGATGGCCGCGCAGTGGTGATGACCCAAACTTTCTCCGTCTAGGTCACAGCATCCTATAGTCGAGATGTTTCGACACGGGACGACATTGGTGATCTCTCCGGCCGATCAGCGGCGCACCTATCGCCGAACACACTCGAGCCTCCGGACCGCACCCACGGAGCTAGGAGCACACGTACCTCAGGCCAGGGCAGCCGGGGCAGGATCTTCTCGGCGGCGGCCACCAGGCGACCGAACTTCTCGCTCATCGGGCCGTTCACCATGGCGGCGAAGCCCTCCCACTCGGCGCGCATGCCCGTCGGGTCGCGGTACGTCTCGATGAAGCCGATGTAGCTGCGGACGACGCGCGACCGTCAGCACGGCAGCGCGCTCACTGACGCGGCTGGCCCAGGAGGCCACCCAGTCGGGGAGGATGCGGAGCGTGGCGCATGGTCTACCCAAAAGAGCGATGTTTAACACACCGGCACATGAGACCTGTGGCGAAACCAACGAGACGGACATGCACATGGCCAGGTTAAAGGCCCCACATGCCATTGCCACATTGCCGTAAAAACCGGCAAAAAGTTGTCGACCCCAGCCGCCTTGCGCCACGTTACAATGAACGCTGGCCTTCACAAAGAATAACACCACTTAACGATAGAACTGACATCTTTACCATCTCTCACTATGTTGTCTTCCCATTATATATTTGTCAACATACGTCTCTCGTTATCTTTTTGCTGTCCTGTTTGCGGAAATAGTCGTGCGAGAGGTTCGTACTACGAGAGTGGCCGCTGTCCCTTTCATCATTCCCACTGTGATTCATCTTACATACAAAGCTGCACAGCGAAGTACAGCTCGCTAAATTATCCTACAACAGCGACGAACAGTTCAGCATTTGGGTGTGCAGAGTCCGGCGGCGAGGATGGGTCCACCGAGTCCGGCGGCAAGGATGGGTCCACCGAGTCCGGCGGCAAGGATGGGTTCACCGAGTCCGGCGGCAAGGATGGGTCCACCGAGTCCGGCGGCAAGGATGGGTTCACCGAGTCCGGCGGCAAGGATGGGTCCACCGAGTCCGGCGGCAGGGATGGGTCCACCGAGTCCGGCGGCAAGGATGGGTCCACCGAGTCCGGCGGCAAGGATGAGTAAACCGAGTCCGGCGGCAGGGATGGGTCCACCGAGTCCGGCGGTAAGGATGGGTCCACCGGGTCCGGCGGCAAGGACGGGTCCACCGAGTCCGGCGGCAAGGATGGGTCCACCGCGTCCGGCGGCAAGGATGGGTCCACCGAGTCCGGCGGCAAGGATGGGTCCACCGAGTCCGGCGGCAAGGATGGGTCCACCGAGTCCGGCGGCAAGGATGGGTCCACCGAGTCCGGCGGCAAGGATGGGTCCACCGAGTCCGGCGGCAGGGATGGGTCCACCGAGTCCGGCGGCAAGGATGGGTCCACCAAGTCCGGCGGCAAGGATGCCTCCACCGAGGCCGGCGCCGCCGCCGGGCTCTCCTCACGTCTCGACGGAGGGTCCCTTGTTCTTGATCCAGTGTCGGCTGCCGTCCTTGTGCGCCGCCAGCGCGCCCGTCTGGAAGCTGCGCACGTACTCGTCCAGCATGCCCTCCTCGTGCGCGTTGGCCGCGTGCTTCCTGCCAGCACACACACGCCGCAGCCGGCCGGTCAGCGGCGGCGCGCGGCGGCCATCCCGCGCCGCGCCGCGCCTTCCGGAGCGCAGACGACAGCAGCCGGCAGCACGACTGGCACTTGTTTTACGGCGAGCGGTCTGGTAGACGGAGCAGTACCGCCATGGCGGACGGCGCGGATTTCAGGTGCGCGCGAAATGCAAAAAAAAAACCGGTCGCCATATGGAATGACACATTTCCAAGAGGAAGCCCGCATCATCTCAGAGCGCTGGCCACTCCCCGTGGCACTGTTCCGAGGGTGCAGCCCGCACCGAAGCGGCAGGGGTCAGACTGGGCTCATCCGGCGCCAGGTAGCCGCGCGGAGCAGGGAGCAGGCGTCTCCCAATGGCCTCCTTGAGCTCCTCCACCACCATGGCGAGCAGGCCGGAGTAGTCGCCACGTGCCACGCTGAACTGGCGCCCTGGTACTCCTCCGGGCCGGAGGTCACCGCCGCGTCACCGTCAGACATCACCGAGGCCGCCGGATCTGGTGGCGTGCGAGCACGCGCGCCGCGTCATTGCCGGGCCGGCGTCGTCGCGCGACGGACGACGAGGCCACGCACCCACGCGCGGCACGGTCAGCTGCCGCCGCCGCCGCAGGACGCCCGAACCGGACGGGTGTAGAACCGCGCTGTCGCGGTTCCCACAGGGCACAACAAGAACTAGACTCCCTCCCTGCCTCCCCTGAGGGACCTGCTCTCCCCCCTCCCCCCCCCTCAGACCAGCATGCAGTCTCTGGGAAACCCACCTCGTCGTGGGTGACGCCGTCCACTAACGTTACTTGAAGAGGCGGTTGTTGTAAGGCTCAAGTACCCTTGTGCTTCATGTACTCTTTGGCCTTTTCGGCGTCCTCGTCTGTGCAGTTGGCAGAGAAGTACGTCGTGATGCCCTGCGTGGGACAAGATAACCAACCAATCAGCACCTGACACGCAGACACTGATCCAACTCTGACTCAACAAGCACATAATCACAAAACTTATGATGCTGTCAATAGCAGGTGGCCAAGCCAGTTGATATTCAGAACATAAGATCATTGTAGCTATTCTTTGTTGTTCATTGATGTTTTCGGGCGTGTCGACTGCAATGGCCATTTTGCGCCCAAACGATCCTTTTACTTGACTAGTATGGTGTGAAAATGAGTTGAAAATCAATATATTTTAAGAACGAAAAGAGTGTTTGGAATCAAGAAAGAAGGAACTGTCCCCAAGCACATCGCTAATCGTCAGGGGCGAGCGTGCGGACCGAAGTGACGTCGTCGTTCTCCGAGTAGCTATTCAAGTCGTACGAGCAGCACACGCGTCTACTGATGGCGCTTAGCGGCACGAGCAGCGTCCAGCGGAGTGAGATCATGTCAAAGCAAACGAAGTCGTTAAAACCGGAAAACCAGCACGTCCGAGAGCTCCCGAGACCTAGATCTAGTCACAGAGCAGCCTCCTGCCGGGTGGTCCCCTTTCCCGGGTGCGGCCCGGCAGCGGGGGTTCGTGCCGCGGCTTTCTCGCGGGACAGACCCCCGCTGCTCACCGGCGTCGCCCTCACCTTGTCGCCGAGTCCCAGCTGCGCTACGTTGTCGTTGAGCACGTACAGTCGCGCCAGACAGCCATCCAACAGGCGCTCCAAGGTCTTGCTGTCCTGCTCGTAGGCTCGCGAGGCGCGTATCAGCGCCGCCAGCTTCTCCTGTGCCAGGCCCGGCACCTTCTTGGTGTCGCCGAAGTCGCGGTAGTTCCCCATGTCCGAGTAGATGGAGCTGCTGTACACCAAGAACGCCTGCGCGCGCCCATCCGCCCAGTTAGAGCATATTCATCAAACCATATGCCCAAGATGGTGGCTCAATGTTAAACTCTGCCTTAGTGAGACTGAGGCAGGACACGGCCGTCGAAATATGGCTCCAGTGTACATGATCACGCATCATAACAGCGCGGGTCATGGGCAGCTCATGCGTGCCAGAATCAGCTTCAAGTGAGACAAGATGTGCAGATGAGTGTGCATGGCATCCCTTCCCAATCTTAGCACAACTTCGGCACCAGCTGAGTGTTTTGTTCTTTCAGACACATCTGCATACCTTCCAGTCTTGCTTTCTTTCAGACAAATCTGCATACCTTCCAGTCATCTTCTGAGAAGTTGCACTTGTCAAATGCTACTTGCTTCAGCTCTTCACAGCTCTGTTGGCGGAAAACACGATGCAGCAGAACAAAGATGAGAGGTGACTCAGGCGATGTCTGAAAAGTGATGCGAATGTCAGTCACTGGAGGTACTGGATCCAACAGGCATTTCTCAGACAAGATAGAGCCTAGTTTTTTATAGGGTACAGAAGCAGAAATACTTGACAATCTGCTTATTCCATACCCAGGCTTCCCTTTGTTATCGGCCAAACCCTGTGGATGCTGCAGTTCAATGCACTCTAGGTGGTGTCTAGGCCCTGACCACAGAGCCAGGATCTGGCCAGATATACCATACACAGGTTTGAAGGTTCTCACCACCTGGAAGTAAATCAGTGCTACATCTCACTCTAGTGATGAGGTGTAGCTAGGTGAGAACACTTAACAGATCACAGCTGTATCACGAAAGCTTTTGTTTGGAGGAAATGCTTACCTGCAGCAGAACAATGAGTCCACCCTTCCAGGAGGCCTGTGCAATGTGGTGGGCATACAGCTGCTCTTTCTTGGAAAGACCTTTAAATGCCACTTCACACTCCAGCCTGGAGAATGGCTGGTTGTTGGGGAGAATGTACTTGGAAGCCATGTTGTCAGTGGAACAGGCCCTTGCAAATCTGAGGGCAGATATAAACACTCAATTCTGAATCTCTCATCTCAAGGAATGTTTGCAGCATTCCCTGCCTCAATGGACTAGTGTGGAGCAAATGTGCAAGGGATATAGCCCAGTCACATTCTTCAGCAGCCCAAGTGGGTGGGATAACCTGGCTGGCACCGTCAACTGATTTAAGTTTGCACCTCAAACCTGGAGAGAAAAAAAGTTGACAGAAACAATCTAAGGCCCCAATCTCTAAGCCTTGACATTGGCTAATTACCAAGTTTGCCAAGATGTAAAGCAGCTGTCATGCATGTAGTACATAAACAACATGAAAATGGATGACACCCAATACTTCAAAATGCAATTTGGTCTAGCAACATATAATCACTCAGCCAAAATTTCATTTTGAGCCTGCCCAATTTAAACAGTGAGGGGTGTTGGCCATACACCACAGGTGATAACTATGGGGAATAATCATGAGTTGAATTCAAATGGGAGCCATATATTTTATCACACTGGACCCTGAAATTCAGATGTAATGTCTACTTGACAGTTGGTGAGCAACAATGCCTTGGAAAATTGGGCTACCTTGTTATTATGACTGGTGATGACATATTTTTATCCACATCATTCACACATGAAAATTGGTATCAGACATTGGCCCCCTGATAAAAAAATGGGTTATGAGCTTAGTGCATATCCCTTTAATCAGAATTGACATGGGCTAAAAAATGTGAGGCTTAGCAATGCATTTCTTTTAAAATATTTAATGTCATGGGTGAACCACAGGCTATATTTTGGAGAACTGGAAGGAATGACTCCTTCCCCTGTGACAGAGCCCACACCTGTTTTACAAATACAATGGATGTAGCAGGGACACCTTATCTCTAGTAGCCAAAGTTCTCCTGCAATGAATAACAAAAACACTATGAAGTGTGAGCCTATGCCACAGGGTGAGCCATTGCTTTTCCTGAATATGATAGCTGCAAGCCTTCAAAGCTAACTCGCAAGAGCAAAATATCCAAACCATATGACTGATACATAAATAGCGATCAAGCCGCAAAGCTCCCTAGGCGTAAATGATCAAATGTGCTGCGACCAACACAGACGGTACCAGCACAGCACGTTGAAACGGCATATTTGGCGCACACCCACATGTCAACTTCAACATCCCAGAATATTGCGCGACATCCCAACTCATCAGATACCATACATTCCACCAAAACAACACTGCGTAACAGCCACGACCACCAACGTGGCGTACTTTTTCCTTAGACGCGGTCCGCCCTCGGCACCGACCCGGCGAACAACGCGGCGCAGGACGTTGCAAGTAAACATTTTTGATTTGCCTGCAGCTTTCTTATCTCGGTCCTCCCATTTCCGAGAAGAGTCGTGCACGTTCGCTTCTGACCTTTACAATCTTATGTAACGGGCGTGTTATCCTCTTGCCAATATCCATTTCAGCAGTCACCGAATAAGTACAAAATCACTTTGGTTTTGTTGACATGCATCATTTGTTACGGCTATGCCGCGCTTTCACGGCCATGACGGACGCCCACTTGCCAGCACAGAGGCGCTGTTGCCACGCCAAGCCTGTTTATGACCTCTACGTCGCCTGTTTGGAGTTATCAGAGAGCCTGCTGGATCGCGGAGTATGTTGACCTTGTGCACATTCTAGGCTGAACACCTTATGCCGCAGCTTAGGGCGGCTCTAGAAGGTGCCCCCCCCCCCCCCCCCACCCGAGTCCTGCGCGTCTGCGCACATTCTCGATTCATTCAATTCAGAAATGTCACTCTCAGCATTCGTCGCCTGTGAGGCCACATGTGGCTAAATGACGCTCTTTACATGACCCCCCCCCCCCCCCCCCAGCGTTTGAAATCCATCAATCACAAGGTTGTAAGAACATGTGTATTTACAGCATACCCACATTAAATACCACCTGCTATTCATATATCTATAAACAGTTTCACATATACAGTAACAAGACTGCGATCAAGACCAAAGTGAAGCACTCACACTATGCCACATCCGTTGCGAATGAAGTCGAATAAAACCGCGCCCCGTCTTGTCACGCGACATTCATCACACAATCAGCCCCACGGACCACAACCAGCCCACAGTCGCATCGCTCCATCCGACAGTTGAAACCTCCACAGATCAGCCGGACGGCAAACGCACGCCACCATCCGGCTCCACGGCCGCGGCCCAACAGGTCACGCAGGCCGCTGCCGCCAGGCGATGGACGCCTGGGCGGCGTCACCGGACCACAGCGAGCTCCGGCCCGGGCTCATGACCGTGGCCACCCCCGCCAGCGGCGGCCCGGCTGGAATGGACCGTCAGACGGCGCCGCCCCTCCCCCTCCCTCCCCATGCCGCCCGGGACGGCCGTGTCACCCGTGCCACGCGCCGGCAGCCTCCGCCGCCGCCCGGCTATCACTGTTTGCCGACGAACTGGCTCAGCGTGCCCTGGCCCTGCTGCAGCTGGCGCATCATGTTCTGGATGCCGTTCATGCCGCCCATGCCGCATCTGCAGCACGCGCGGGTCCATCATGCGCGCCATCTGCTGGTTCAGCTTCGCCATCTGGTTCTGGTTGACGTTGCGCGACATGTCGCCACCTGGAGCGAGGGAGGGGGAGGGGGAGGGGTCAGGGGAGGTGCCGACGGGACCGTAGGAACATGGACGGCACAACGGCTTGAGGCTCGCCTCAGTAGACGGCCGGTGCACGAGTGCCAGCGCGCCATCAGTAAATGACTTCAGGTGGCGAAACGAGAGTTGTTGCTAATGCAAGCCACATTCCCCGTTTTTCATCTGCTTGTGTACGTTTCCTTCCGCATTTCAATGATGATGAAGGCCGCTTAAGGTAGATTACCTCATCTGTGATAACCCAATCATTTAACTGTTCGTCCAACCCAAACGCTTTCCTCAAAGGTGAGGTGCCAAGGGCAAACACCATAGAGCATACATCACGTACATAAACAAGACCCTTAATAATTAGTGTACGGTTTGTCGCTTCAAACCGCTCTTCACAGAATCACCAAATGCAAAGCACACAAAAAATCCCGCGGATCGCCCCCTCCCCCTCCCCCCTGTACACACACACTGCGCCGCCCCAAGGGTCGGCATGGAGGGCCGCAGGCGGCAGCCCGGCTCACCTTTGAACAGACCCTTGATGCCGCCCATCTTCTTGACCACCTGGGCAAATTTGGTGTGTTGATTGAGCAGGTCACGCACCTCGCGCTCGGTCACGCCAGCGCCGTTGGCGACGCGTGTGATCCGACTCGGCTGCTTGGTGAACAGCTTGGCGCCCAGCTGGCTGTCCAGCTCTGTGGCCGGCGGACGGGCAGGGTCACAGACGACACGGCCGCGGCTGCCAGCCCGGCAGGCGGGCGAGCGGGGTCACAAAGACGACACGGCCGCGGCCGCCAGCCGCCGACGGGAGGGTAAGGTCACACAGACGACACGGCCGCGGCAGCCAGCCGACGGCCGGCCGGCGGGCGGGGTCACATAGACGACACGGCCGCGGCCGCCAGCCGCCGGCGACACTCACTAGGTCACGACGCAGCACACAGCTGACTGACACACCGACGCAGCAGGGCCATAGTATTTACCGGGGGCAAACGTTCATGGCTGAGAGCGCTGATCTCCGTACCGATAACCATGACACAGTTAAACCAATTCCCAGGATCTTCGCGATCGTTTTAACTCCTACATCACGGCGAGCTACCATGACCGTCATGGCCGCGACCAATTGATCGACGCGCGTGGTGGAAGGCCCCGGTCCGCTGCGGCGACCCGGCTCGCGGTCCGGGCCGGCCCAGACCACCAGGGCCGGTGAGGGAGCGGCCCGGACCGCCGACTCACCGCCGTCACTCATGCTGTCCATGAGCGTCATGAGTCGCTTCAGGCGGGCCGTCGACTCCTGCTCGCCGCCCTTCGACAGGAAGTCCTGGCCGAAGCCCGGGATCATGCCCTGCCCAACGGCAGCCGGCGTTGTGTAATGCAGCAGCGGCAAGCGGCCTCGACAGGCCATGAGAACAAAACCGCCACTGACGATCCATTATTAGCGGTGGATGTTGGACCTTGCCGGACGCGACTATCGCCAGCCAAGTTACGTGGACAACGTAGCAAAAACAGCGGGGCGCCCACAGGTACCTAACGCGCCTTGTAAGCAGCTCTTCTGATGTGTAAATATGGCGCTAACGTGACAACGTACTTGAAGTCGCACCGTCTGTTTCATTATTCACATTATTATAGGCTGCTGTAACTTCTTGATGCATAACATATGTGTCTCATAGCATGCCTTACAGTACGTGTTATAAAACTGGCATTGAAACAGTGTTCTATTAGACTTGTTCTTTGTATGACACGGGCCACAAAACGTGCGACAGATATCCCGCTGGACAACAGCTACGATGGTTGAGGACCAAAATCACGGTTACTTTAAGTCGATACCAACAGCAAGGATAGACGCCAGCGACAAATGGTGCTGCTCTCGCCCTACACTCAGTTCCTGTCGTCCGTACGGCGTGATCCCCGATCCACGTACCATGATCTGCGAGAAGGGCCCCATCTTCATGATGTTCTGGAACTGCTCGTACATGTCACGGAGCGTGAACTCGCCGTGCTTCAGCTTCTTGATGAGCTCCTCGTTGTCCTCGAGGCCGAGGTCCTGCACGGTCTCGATCAGGCCCTCGATGTCGCCCATGCCCAGCAGCTTGGAGACGAACGGCTTGACGCGGAACGGTTCAAAGTCGTCGATGTGCTCACCCGTGCCGATGAAGATGATGGGCGACGACGTGGCCGCCACGCTGCCGGCGCCCGCACGGTGGTTGGTGACTGATGGGTTCTGGGCGCGCTAACTACCGCGCTCGTTTTACGCCCACAACAGTGGTAGTGAACCAACGACGTGTACATCGATGCCAGCGTACGTATAAAACTGCAAATTGTGCACATGCCACACTTAATTAATTAATGAGTTATGTTTAAGCACAATCGTGCTTACCATCAAATGCAACCGTGACAAAATGAACGCATCACCCCACCTTACGAGCGAACAACCCGGATGCGACTGTTCATAGCAAACAACAAAGCGGAAGCAGACGCCCATGCAAGCCAGAGGAGCCGGCGTCTACTTACGCTGACAGGGCGCCACCGCCCTTGGCGTGGCCGTCCAGCTTGGTGACGATGACCGATCCGACGTCCACCTTTTCCTTGAAGGCGCGCGCCTGCGGCTCGCAGGCCTGGCCGATGGCCGCGTCCATGACGAACACCACATTGTCGGGACTCTGGCGGCGGCGGGAGGC